GAACGCTGTCATGAGTACGGACTAAAGATAAATTTAAAGAAAACTAAATGCATGATCATGACTAAATCTGCACATGCAAATATCCAATTGACTATTGAAGATACTGCAATTGAGAATGTTAATAACTATAAATATTTAGGAACATGGATAACATCAGATGTAGACCAAACCAAAGAAATTAAAACACGTATTGAAATAGCACGTACATCATTTATTAAACTTAAAAAGTTTGTTTGTTGTCGGGATATAAGGTTAGAACTACGCCTGAGAATGCTTCGATGTTACGTGTTCTCTACTCTTCTTTATGGTCTGGAAGCTTGGACACTAAAACAAGTTCATCTGAATAAGTTGGCCGCCTTTGAATTTTGGTGTTACAGAAGAATCCTACGAATATCATGGATTCAAAGAATGTCAAACATGGAAGTAACTAGAAGGATAGGAAATGAGGCGGAAATAATATTAACTATTAAAAGACGAAAACTTGAGTACTTGGGACATGTGATGAGAGGGCAAAAATACGCATTATTACAACTTATTATGCAGGGCAAAATCCGAGGAAAGCGAAATGTGGGAAGACAAAGAATATCCTGGCTTAAGAATTTAAGGGAATGGTTTGAATGCAGTAGTGCAGAACTTTTTAGAGCGGCAGTCAACAGAGTCCGCATAGCCATGATGATTTCCAACCTTCGATAGAAGATGGAACTTAAAGAAGAATAATATCCATATTAAGTATTTAATAGATGCGTTTATGGATAATCTTTAAAACATTTTAAATGTGTGAGACATTAGAATTATGATGCGGCGGTCTATGCATTCTCTAGCATTTTTCTTTTTGGAGACAAATAAATATTGTTCTGAAGCTATTTTTTTTTTCAATTTACTGTTTGAATTTTGAGAACGATTTCCGAAGTCGAAATTGAAACGTCAATAAACTTATTTTAACCTTCAATTGTGGCTTATTCCCAATAAAATAGTAATTAAATAAATGTTGAGGTCAACCATTCATTGGGTATGTCACCCTACTGATAAATTTCACTAAATAGCTTGAAGAGGACATACATGTACTCATTTTCTTTAGTGCATACAATATTTCTTCCTTTGTAATTTCTAAACTTGTTTCCCTGTCCTCGAAAGATATGTCTTGTAGGTTTCCTCTTTAGTCGTCAAAGAGCTTTTCCATATATTATTTTCATGGTTTTAGCTTTTAGTCAGTCGTTATCATAGTATTTCCATTATGGTTCCTTTTTGCAGGCCTGCCATTTTTTAAATATTTTTATGTATGGTAAATAGGTCGTATTTGTTTTTAACATCTTCTATCTCATTATATTTTCCTCATAGCCAGTTTGCTTTGACTCTCTTATCATTTTTCTGATTTCATTGTTAATGATTTTGTAACTATGACTGTCTTTGTTCTTGGCTTGTCTTCTTTGCATGAAACAAAGAGGCAGTATTTTAATGTGTTCCATTGTTGTTTTATCTCGTAGGTGTTGGTATCTAATTTATCAAAGTTTTCGTATATTTTTTGTTGGAGTTTGTTTTTTATATCAGCGTCTTTTAGTTTGATAACATCTAATTTTGGAGTTCTTTGGGGTTTTCTAATACGATGAAGCTTAATCGTGACATTAGTGATTAGTGGGTTACGGTGTGATGTAGCATCTGCCCATGGATATGCTTTAACTGATTTGATGATGTTACAATATCTCTCTTTAATCATTATATAATCAATTTACCACTTTTTCCGGTTTATATGCTGGTGAGCGCCATATATATAACCGTCTCATAGGTAATTTAAAGAACGTGTTTGTGATTATTAAACTTTGTTCTTGGCAGAATTGTATTAGACAATCTCCTTTATCGTTACGTTACCCTAGTCCTTGATCTCCCATTATGTTCCAGCTCTTTCATTGTCGACTTTTGCATGGAAATCGCCCATAACTACCGTGACTTCCGTGTGCTTTGTCAGTTTCAGTACAGTTTCAATTTGTTGGTAGAATGTTTTTACTTCATGTTCTGTTGCAACTGTCGTTGGCGCATATACTTGGATTAAATTTAGTTTTGTGTGTGATGTCCTTATTTGTAGTAGCATCACTTTTTCTGAGATTGAAACGAAAAACTGTATTGAATGGTTGCTACTCCACGTCTATGGTGGTTGTCAATATTTTTCGAATAATATAATGTACCGGTTTCTGTCGAAAGGTAACCTAAGTTAGGCCACCCTGTTTCGCTTACACCTAATATATTTATATTCAGTCTTTTCATTTCTTGAAGTATGGAATTTTACCTTGTCTTGTTTCGATGTTTGACAAAGGTTTCTCCAGTTAACGACCTGGGAGTCCTTGTCTGTTTCTCCCATGCTGAATGTTAGGCTCCGAGATTCCCATGAATAGCTTCTTTTGTTCTTTTAGTACTCATTGCCATGATGATTGTATTAGAGATATCCAATTGGATCTTTAATGCAGTGGTTTCTTCTTGCCTTCTGCATACTTATGCCGTTGACCATTTACTTGATTCATTCGCCTTTGGTGCCAATTTCTTAGTACCAGGATATAAGAGTGCCCTTCCACTTACCAACTCATCCGCATGAAACTGCTGATCAGTAAGTGTGGGATTGCTTACACCTGCAATAGCTCGGTGGAATTTTTGCCATATCTGGCTACTCTCACTTAGTTTAGCTTGCAGACCAGTGCTGTTGCCCGGGATGTGGTACGTGGAGCCATAAGTGAGAGTAAGTTGTCCTACGAGGACCAGTTATACAGAACCATCTCCTGTCAATGACGCTCGATGTGGATGTTCCGATAAAAGGTGCTATCTCTATAATACAACTCTACACCCCTATTTTTATATTTTTTCTATCTATTTATTTCTATCTATCTATTTTTCATTGGCAAAGTGTAAGCGTCTCAGTTGACGACAGCATCTTAGTACGCGAAGGAGTAGGGCTTGAAAGTATTTAGGCACTTACTTTGCTTTCGATATTTAAGACCATTCCTCCTCAATTCCAACAAATGTACTTTTAGAATATTTGTATTGACGACCCAACCTTCTCCTATCTCTTCGTTGACATTCCAACCTAGTTTCTCTTCTTACCAATCTTTCTCACCCCTGTGCAATAAATGCACATGGTCTTTCACTTTTAGGATATTCAGACATGATATTCACTGCTGACACTCCGTTATTGTTCTATAAATGATTTTGCGTGAAATATTCTCATTCTGGAATATTCGACATATTTCAAGCTTTGGGTAACCACCCAACTGACTTCTAGATACATTTTTTTATCTCTAATGTATGGTTGTAATGTATAAGTTAAATAATAAATAAATAATAAAAAAATAAATAAATCTCAACTCGACAGTAAACAAACTTTTGTGTCCAAAGTCAACTTAACATTGTTTTGTTCTTGTTAAAATTAATGGAGTTGTGCCAAAATTTTAGGACATATGTTGTAACGTCCCTATTTGGAACATCTAATCACACATCAGCTCAAGGCCACGATAGCTATAGTCGGAGAAAATGGTAGGGTACGGTCTAATGTAAATAAGAAATAAGAAACTACGTAATACTTCGAAAAATTAGACACGACTAGATAACATGACATAATAAATTATCGCTGGGCGCCATCCTGTATTTTAACTCGAGGAAGCGAGTATAAAAGGAAATCAAAATTCAGTAATAAAAGAGACATTCAAAATTGTATTATTCATAAACATTGCATATTACTTCATGTTGGATTTAATATAAACAAAGCAACTAATTATCGTATCCAATCACGAATTGATTATTAAAAATTAATGAAGCTGTAAAATGTCATAAAGTGTTTTTATTTAAGATTATTGTTTGGCACTATGTGCTGCAAATAAAATTATATATTCAAAGAACATCAAAAGTTCCATAAAAGAATACAACATAGCTATCTAAAAATTAGAAATGTGTCAACTAGACACTTGTGAAAACCAAAGTCAAAGAACAGGAGTTATTATTAAGTTATACTCTACTTTACTGGTTGCTTGTACTAAAGCTGAAAATTATAAAAAACATACGTTTCTTATTGACTTTATTAATAACAAAAATAACAACTACATATCGTAGTAAATCAAAAATTGATCATTAATAATAAATAAAACTATGTTTCTTTCCCAAATTTCGAAATTTGTTCACATTTAGGATATAATAGTAGTTAAATATTAATTAAACATATTAAGTAAAAAAAACTTTAAATAAAATTAAGATATTCCAATATTTTGTCTCTATGAATCCATAAGGAAAATTCTCGCTCTTGATAGGGCTTAATAAAAAAAGGGTACAACCTTATTTATCCATTCTCCGGAAAATCAAAGAAGAAGACCTGTTTCCGTCCATCTGTTAACTACTCCATCAGATAATTAATAGTAAGGATCCATTTGTATTATATGTAATTTTAACTACTCCATCAGATAATTAATAGTAAGGATCCATTTGTATTATATGTAATTATTGGAAGCCATATTATAGTAAGTATGGACTGGAAGTATGGAAGTAAATGGACTGTCGGAAAATGTTCCAGTACATTTAACATAATTATTGAAAGTTTACCTCCCGGAAAAAGAGTCTGAAAAACAATTATTCATCTGAAATATAAAAAAAACTTTCTTTGTAACTCACCCCTAATTTAGAAACTTATTCGAAACACAGGTCCGATCAAACGAACGGTTGCAACAAGAAAAGAGCAACGAAACTATTTCGCGGTTTGAAATGAAGGCGTGACCGACAAGCTTAATATCGTTCGCCCCCATCGGATATGTTAAGAAATAATGTAGGACCTTGAGTCGAATACAAACATCTGGCAAATAGATGGGGTTAGTAGTTTCATTATAAAAAACAATATTCAAATTTATATTGAATTTTCTAAAACTTTTGAAACGGTTACAATGTTATATGGTTATATATGTATTTTCATCACGTTTATTGAATGTAATTATCGATGAGTTTATTATATTTAATTTTTTTATTATTATTTTTAGAAAAAAGTCGCAAGACGCCAGAGAGATGTCCAAGAAATTCAGGTAAGTCTTTATATCTATAGTTTTGTTAGAAACAATTCAAACGACAAATACAGTATGACTTCTATCGGCACTATTATTTCGTACATAAACACATAAATTGAACATCATATAACTACCGTTAATAAATCGGAATATATCTATTATATTGGAGTGCTTTTGTCTCAGGATTGCGACTGCTTGAGTTTACTGCTTAATCTTCCTATCAGTGGGTTGTTGTCTGACCTTAAATCAGCCCCAGGATAAGTTTTGAGGATATGATGAAGTTTTTTTTTTGAGTAGGTAGTCAATTTGATTTCAGATATTATTTTGGTTGTCGGCTGGAGATATCCATGTGTATAGTCTTGTAGCGGGTAGTTTGTATTAGGCGTTCGTTAAATCCAAAGTATTTTTCAATAAAATTTCCTTCATTTTCTTTTTTTAATTTATATCATCATTTTAACACCAATTGTTGAATTTATATTACCTACGACAATTTTGATATCTTCGTTCGGTTGTTTCTGATGCTTGTTCTAATTCGTTATAAAATCTCTCGAGTTATTCGTCAAGTTTGCCTGCAATGAGTGCGAATACTTTAACATTATTTACCCGTATTTGAACCGATTTTAATATTATCATTATTACTCACTTCAATATTAGCAGACATCCAGTCTCATATTTTAAAGAGGTTTATCAATTATTATTGCTACTCTATTCCAGTGTTTCTTATTGTTGTTACCAGAGTAATATATTTTGCACTTGTTCATCATTTGGCATCTTCATTTACCATATCAGAATTATTCGTCGTTGTATGTTGATGTCTGTTGTACCCTTTACATATAGTAGAATACCTTTTGCAATCGGTTTTACGTCTTCTGTTGGGTCCTTCATTCTTTATTGAGCAATATCAGCCTTTTAAATGGTGTATGTTGAGAAGCTGTTTTTTTTTATTTTATTTATTACTTATTTTATTTTATTTATTTCATTTCTTTATTTTTATTTTTTTCGTCTGACGGTCTTTCAGTTTGTGTCATCAGGGTTTTATTGACTGAATGTAATTATGCAGGATGGTGATCTGAATCAACATCTAGATATATGTTGGTATGTGTGGGTTTCCGGTATACTGTGTGTCCTATGTGCCCGTCTTCCTTCTATATTATTAACACATCTAAGAATGTTATTTGTTTGTTTTCTTCCAGTTCCATAGTAAACTGAAATTTATGGTGGATATTATTGATGTACTTTGAAAATAAGGCTATTATCGAACACAAGTTAATGAAATCTAGCCCAAGTACTTTCGTTTTAAAATAGCATCTTCAGGGACATTTCGTCAAAATGTTAACTATCCGACAAGCGTAGAATGTGGAAACATTAATAGTGACATAAAATTGTACAAAACACTACACTAAACCGAGGACAAACAGTTTAACATTACTTAAAGATTCTACGCTACAGTCTCTAGAGAATTTAGCGTAGAATCTTTAAGTAATTTTAAACTGTTTTTTTAAACTCTCTAAAGAATGTAGCGTAGAATGTTTAAGTTATTTTAAACTGTTTGTCCTCATTTTAGTGTAGTGTTTTGTACAATTTTATGTCACTATTAATGTTGCCACATTCTACGCTTGCCGGATAATTTACATTTTGATGAAATGCCCCTGAAGATGCTATTTTAAGCGAAAGTACTTGGGCTAGATTTAATTAACTTGTGCTCGATAATAGCCTTATTTTCAAAGTTCATTTATTCGAGCATTCAACCTCATTTCAATTATGATTGATGTGTTCTAAAAATATCTTTAGTTTGTCTTCTCCATGTGTCCAGAATATAAATGTATCATCCACGTACCTAAGCCAAAATTTGGGTTTGTGTTTGGTTGTTCCTATTGCTCTCTGTTCTATTTCTTGCATAAACAGGTTTGCTATTACCGGTGAATGTGGTGAACCCATCGATGATTCTTCAACTTGTTTATATCTTTGCTCCTTATCGATGAAATATCTGTTATTTAAGCAGGGGTTTGTTAGATTTAGAGTATTCTGTGGTATTGGATACTGTTTATTTAAAATTTCTAATAATTCATCTATGGGAACATTCGTAAAAAGTAAGGCTACATATAAGCTAACTAGCAAATGTCCCAGCTCAAGAGTCAGATCTTTCATACGCTCGATGAAGTAGTTTGCATTGTTGACGTACGAATTCGCTTTTTCTGCATTTTGTTCTAGTTGTTTAGCCAGAAATTTTATCAGTGGTTGTAGGGGAGATCTGATGGAACTAACTATTGGCAGCAATGGTAATTCTGTCTTTTGTACGTTGGATAGGCCTAAAGTTTTGGACATCTTGACGACTTCTCTCTAGGGATAAGATGTAACTTATGTTCTTTCTTGATGTATCAGGCTTTTGTTACTTTTTCTAGATATGTTGTAGGTGCCGACGAGATTCTTGGATATGTCGTATTGTTTAGAATGTCGTTTGTTTTTACTTCGTACTCTTAAATATTTATTACTATCGTAGTTTTGCCTTTGTCGGCTGGGAGCACGATGATTTCTTGGTTGTTCTTCAAATCATGTGTGGCGTCTTTTTCTTAGGAGGTAAATTTCTTTTTGGTAGTTTGGCTGTTCGAAATATTTTTGATACGTCTTGGTGTATGATCTCGGTTGTTGTTGCTAGGATATTAGTAATAACTTCCTTAACTTAGATAATAATATTTTCTACAGAAATTTGTGCAGGTACAACAACCAACAGCCAATTGAAACTTTTTGAGAGAACACTATTCGTGGCCTCATCCAATGTTAGATTTGAAAAGTTATAAACTAATTTGTTAGTTTCTGTTTGTGGTTTTTCTTTCACCTTTGGCGGCAGTTGTAGTAACAAATTTTTAAACTTTTCGATTTGTATTTTTCTAGTGAGGTCAGAGTCTGTTTCTGTTTGAAAGTTTGTCAGTGCATCAAAAAAATTTCACAGTATCGAATGAATTGTATTACTTAGTTTATGCAGCTATAATTACTCTGAATTCATTTTGTCTTTGTCTCGCCTGGTGTTATGAATCGCTTCTGGACTTCTGTATTGAAGTCAAACCCGGAAAACCTCAGAAAGCACACATATAGCTTCCGAGGAAATTTCAAGCGTAACAATTTTTTTTTCTTGGGGAATGCAGTCAATTGATTTGGGCTGATACAAGTAAAACTCTTTAAGATTAAAGTTCATTCGTTTAGCAAATTCCCATCTGTCAACAAATGCACGTGTTGATATTCGGCCTCTCATTCGTCAAGAGGCTATTAAATATAATTTATTGCCTTAATCCAGACAGATTCTCATGTTATAGATCCAAACTTGCCGGTCTGTTTAAATTAAAATTGTATCGTGTTGGTTTTTAAGTTAATATATTGTGTGTTATATTTGTGTTATAGTTATTGTTAAGTTATTTACTGGTCGTGTTATTTTTTAAAGTTTAGTTTAATTGTGATTTAATGATTAAATTTTAATAAATTCTTACAATAATAGTTTCAAAAGTAAATATTTTTAAAAATCATATGATACACATCAGTACGACCCTATTTGTCTTCCACGTGCTTCTGTTGATAATTGTGAATATGTAAAATAAATGTAGTTTAGTGTAGCTTTCATAAATTGTATTTCCTTTTTTAGAGATATTTGCTCGAGGTTATAAATTAGTTTGATAAACATAAATATTTTAAGAGCATAGAAATTAAAAATAACACAGTGTGTGTCATTTCACACTACACTAATTAAATGTCATTTTTATTAAAATAATTATTTGACGCAAATTGAACATAAGTCATGTGTAGTTTTTTAAATAAATTTAAATATCTCAATTTCTTGTTTAATATCAATATTCAAAGTGTACACTTTTAAAAGCAACTTTACTCTTTTATAGGCTGCTGGACCACTTCTTGCAACTCTAGAAGCAAAACCTGCTATTCAAACTCTAGAAGCCAAACCAGCCATTCAAACTTTAGAAGCAAGACCTTTAATTCAAACTCTAGAAGCCAGTCCTGCTCTTTTGGAAACTAGACCAGCCATTCAAACTCTAGAAGCCAGACCAGAAATTTCAACCCTTGAATTAAGACCAGAAACTCTTGAAGTAAAACCTCAAATTTCAACACTTGAAAATAAACTATCAGTAAATGACAAAGTAAGTCATTTATAGTTAAGAAAAAATAATAGTAACCTATGCTAATCTCCTTTCTTTTTAGTTGGCTTTGATTAAAGAATGGGTTGAAGAACAAGCTGTGAGTATTACATTATTTATATTTACCTTTCAAACATTTCAAAAGTTTTGTTAGTAAATTTTATTATCATTCGTTTTGCAGAGTATGTCCAATATCTGACAAAGAAACTTTATATAGACTCCTAAAATATAAAAAGTTAACTTTATACATTCTGTAAGACATTCATTAAATGCACAATTGTTTGTATATGTATAAGAGAGCATATAAAGAAAACAAAGTAATAATTAGTTTCTTTATATGCTACCTATATTATAATTACGATTAATTAATTAATGTTATACTGAAAAAGTTTTGAAAGAAAAAAAATTTCAAATATTTGCATAAATATCTTACCTCACCAGATAAAGGAGCGTATCTTTGAAAATCCGTATATCTACGAACTCGTCTAGATTGATGTAAAGTTGTTTCCATTTATGTATCGTCCATCGGCGATAATTCAAACAAATATCACTTTTAGTTCAGGCAAATGAAGCTATTTTTTTACCACCAAAAATGGAATGTTTTAACCAAATGCTGCTTCGAATATTATCTGCAGAATTATTTTGAATTCTGTTCCGCTAATGAAACTGCTTTTTTCGTCCTTAAAAGTAGAAAAAAAGTTTAATTTCTCTTGCTTAATATTTATCATCTAATAATTTTAACTGTACTAATATGCAAGTGTTTACTTTAAGATATTGACTGCGTTCCTAAAATATGTAAACCAGGGAACTGTGCATTACCGGCCCCCGGGACCGGTAGCTTGGCGCGAACACGATGTGTTACCGACCGTCGGGGACCGGTAATACCATAATTAGTTTTTATATTTCTACAGTTTTATAATATAAATTATACGGGTTATAAGATCAATTATTGAAAGTAAAAACATTTAAAAACTTACCATTATCATCGTTTTTGATCAGTTTTCCTGTTAGAAGTTTTTAAAGTGTCAAGACAGTCTACTATTTTTTACAGAGTTAGATTAAAAGATTAAATGACAGAAGACTTCTTAATATTTTATTAGTATAAATGATTTTTGAAAACAAAAAAGAATGTGTAAACTAAATATGTTTTTAGTTATTAAAAAAAACAAAAAAGTTTCAGAAATATAAATTATTTTTTATAAATGCTATTAAAGCAAGATAAACACATGCCATGGTTGTCCAGGACATTCATTGCCATATCTTCTTACTTTTGGCACCATATTACTTGCCTGTTTGCTTGAAAATGTTTCTCTTAATTATTTATGATGGCATCCTTGGCATTGTCTTCGCCTTCTCCTGTTCTTTTCAGGTTCTGACGGTTTAACAAAAGTATGTAGAACTCTTTTGGGAGTAGTGATGTATTTGTGTGCAACGGAAGTAACAAATTAACTCCCGTGCTAATCTTCTTTTAAATTCATTAGAGATAATTTTATGAAAGCACTTGTTATAAACAATCCAGTCCTTTACAACAGCTGTTTTAACCAAAAATTCAAAGGCTAGTTTACGGTGCCATTTTAAACTTTTTCTTAAAACGGAATGATAAGAAGAATAAAATGTTAAATTTAATTAAATGTTAAAATGATCATCTTGCAATAATTGCCTTTGGTTTCAATACAAGCTCACGTTGTCAGTTTTGCTTTCCTGTTGGTTCTAAGGTAGCTGCATGGATTGGATTAATACTTAATATTAGAACTGCCCGTCTAAGTTCCTCAAATTTCACCCTTTTTCATTTTTTTAGGTACAGTTTTGGGAATATCTCTTCTGTTGACCTGACCTATTGTCTGACCTCAGATATCCACAATAAATTATTAGATTTTTGAACAATAATTTGGCTAAAGGTAAACTCGAGTAATAACTATCAGCATACAACTAGCAATAGTAGCAATTTTCGAATTCAACATCTGTTCAAGAAGATCATACACTATTTGCTCACTCTGAATAGTATTTGCATTAGTAGTCATATTTTTACCACGATAAACGATTATGTTGTTAGTGTTGTTAGGATATCGATCCACTGTACATAACTTATCTAATTTATTCCATATGGGTATGTTTTATTTGGCAGATACTGCTTTATTTAAAGTCTTCCTTAATCAGATACTATACTTTCATCGACTAACAAAATCCGTCCTGGAGTTAATGCAGCTTGAAAATTTTTGTTCAATATTTTTAAAACTTCACCTAGCTTATAGAGCCGAGTATCCTAATTACACTGCTCATTATTACAAAAATGAATGCAACGCATCAATAAAAGGAACTTATCTCGTCCCACGGTATTCGTAATAAGCTCATTCTTGAACATAGGATATTTCGACCAATACAAATTTATTGCGGAAATATCAACTAATCCCCATAACTATACATGTTAAAAAAAACGTTTAAATTCGGCTATATTACAGTCAACCCAAGAACGTTTACGTGATTTTGCTCGATGTATATTTAATAATATTTTCCGAGCAAATCTATTTGATTCAGTAACAATATTCTGTAAAAGATCATCGGTTACAAATAACTTGTAAGCGTCTATAGGATTTTTTATTTCGTTAACGGTAAAATGTAATACAGGTATATCTTGATATTGTTTCAACTCACCAGCTTCATTGTCACTCTCATCTATATCATGTCACTCCTTTAGATCATCATTTTCAGATTCTGACATTTTTTTGCTTTCAATTTCTGTCTCATTATCATCAAGTAAATTACTCGCACTTACATTACTGTACAAGTCATCTGAAGAAAGAACATAGTTTTTGCCGATCACAGAATCGTCCGAAACAAAAGAATCGTTCCGTTTGCACTCTGCAAGCAAACTCTTTTCTATCTTTTTAACGCAAGATACTAACTCCATAATTATGTACGAAGAAGGTTGCGTTTCGATTTAATTTGAGTCTCTTACCACTCCCTGACACGTGTTTCTGGGTCTACCCGTCATCAGAAGGAGTTTGTAAGAAGACTCGAACCAAAACAAAACGCGCCGATTACTTTGGCAATTACATGAAAATATCTGCCAGAGTATGCAACTAGAGACCTCTAGTGAGGAAAGATGAAGATAAGTCGATAGCAATTAGAGTAAACTGTATACCCAAGCTTAATCAAGCCACTCAGAGTAATCAAGCCAGAGTAATCGGTGCGTTTTGATTTGGTTTGAGTCTTCTTACAAACTCCTTCTGATGACGGGAGACCCAGAAACACGTGTCAGGAGTGGTAAGAGACTCAAATTAAATCGAAACGTAACCTTCTTCGTATATTTATCGTCCTTACCCGACGCAATGAGTACAAGCATAATGGTAATTTATATGGGTAAATTGTTGGTGCATAGTGGAATATTATTTCCAGCACTGCTCTGAATGGCTTGATTAAGCTTTTGTATACAGTTTACTTTAATTGCTATCGACATATCTTCATCCATAACTATGGTTTGAAAAGAAGCACGTGGGTTACGGTTAGATATGTATGTCTAAAAAGTAAAATTATAAAAAGGTAGATAGTGGTTAAATATTAAATATAACTTACACCAGATAAGTTTTAATGATATAAATAAATTTTCAATAGAGGAACCAGTTTAAATAAGCAAAAGATCATATAAAAGCTAATCTCCCTTTATATTGAGTTATCCCTACCTCAGTATTAAAGCAGAGAACTACGTAGTTCTCTGATTAAAGTGTGACACGACAGAGCAGAGTTGTCAACTGACATATAGTCTATTGAAGTGAGGCATAGAAATTTATATAAATATGTTCTATCATCTCATGGAACATAATAGGGTCTGAATAAGGAAATTATAATTTTTAGTGAAAATGAAAATTGGAATTTAGATGACACAATATTTAGTGAATAGAAAGTTGATTGAATATGATCGAGGTTTGTTGAAGCCCTACGCAGAAAAACCTAAAATGCAGACAGTTCAATTCGTGGACCATACAAGTAAATTTCCTTGTGTAAAATTACGTTACTACTGTTTGAAATAAACAAGTGATAACATTCACGAAGAATTGAATCTCCAAACAATTTTATGATTTTAGACGAGATTAAAGAGTTATTAAGTTCACATCTTTTGTAAGTTTTGCCAGGATATTAAACCAAAACCTTTCCCATAGATCCAAAAGTATCAATGCAATATTTGCATGACATATCGCAGAGGCACTGATGAAGAAAGAAATCAATTAATAATCAGATTCAAAAACACAAAACAAGAAATAGAAGAAGTAAAAAAATATTTACAAATTCGTTACCCAGGAAGATAAACAAAAAACTGTGTGCTGCCTGTGACCTACAGTAAGCCATACATAAAGTTTATTAAAGTGACATCTACGTCTATAAAAGCGCCTTGCTATGTAAATTCTGCCTTTCATATGCCTTGATAATATCACTGATAAACGAAGCACACTAGTTCGCTCCTAAGGTCAAAAAACCCTTTTAATTAAATACTAGTTCGCTCCTAAGACCGTATACTAGTTCGCTCCTATGGTTAAGCGGATTAAGTATTTATCTATTATAAAACTCAAAGTATATTCTGAAATGAATACTCCTCCTCAGACCTAATCCCTATTGGGATGTGGTGATACCATCAGGCCTTCACAGTTTTTTTACGATTTCCCTCCATCCTTCTCTGTCCTGGGCATCGAGCAAAAAGACAAAAGAGGGAATCTAATCGTTATAAACAGAGACCAAAAAAGTGGCCTCTGATGGCGGACATATCCAGAAATGCGAATGCGCCAAATTTAAATTTTTCGACATTTATTAACAGTAGCTATAAAATAGTTTTCAAAATGTGTCTTAGACGAGAAAGTTTTCATTAAATATTAACGATAACAGTCTAAAATATGAAACAATTGTTAAAAAACTTCATTATAAATAAGATTTCATGTGACAGTTGGGACAAATAATAACATAACCCAACTAAATTTGATTTCTTAAACAAGGAAAGATTCTTTTTCCGTGTTTAATGTGGCCTCTGAAGATGGCACTTCCTGTCTAACAATATTTTCCCCCACTACCTTTACATTCCCTCTTTTGTCTTTTTTCTCGACGGTCCTGGGCTAGTTGTTCGGCTTCATGTAACCCCTGTTTAATCAATATTTTTGTTTGATCTACCCAACGGCTTGGAGATCTTCCCCTAGGTCTTTTTTCTTCAACTCTACCCTCGACTATCAGTTTTTCCATCGTACCTGTTCTTCTAGCAATGTGTCCAAAATACTACAAATATCTCTGTTGTATTTGTTTAAGCAAATGATATAATAATTATTAAATCGTAGTAACCCTTAATATTTTTTTAAATAACCTACATAAAAATTATTTTATTAAATATTAGTTTTATAAATAAATATACTCATTGGGATTTTCTTCATTTTCAGAACAGACCAATCTCGAAGCAAGCTCTTCAAGAAAATGTAAGTTTATATAAGAAATTTTGGATGATATATATTTATATGTATATTTGTATTGTATATGTAATCTGTTTACCTCTCTTTCCTATACTTAACACTCCGTTAAATTTTTCGGAAATATTTTTATGTAAATGTTTTCTTATTTATTGAGATAAGGTATATATGTGCTTGTCCGATTTTTCACTATTTTTACGTTTAACCGTGTAAGGTTTTTTGATTTCCTTATGAGTCCAGCTTCCAGCATGGTCTTAGAGAGATGTTTAGTCAGACCCAGCTTTTTTATGATTTCTAGGTTCTTCGGAATAAGTCCAGTAGTAAAAAGAGTAATAGGTATTGTCTGGGTACGTTTTATTCTGTTTATCTCCTTATTTGTATTTCCTGATCTCTGTACAAGCAGAAATCAGCAATGAAATAAACGCATAAATTTAAATATTGACTACAAACATTACCGAAGATCTAACACCAACATGGAATACGATTACAAGTGCTGTAACAGACATTATGAAAAACAACTTAGGGTACAAACAAAATAACAAGAGGCAAAAATGGATGACAGAAGAAATACTATTACTAATGGAAGAACGACGAAGACACAAGAATGACCAAGATGGCAGCAATATGTATGAAAACATTAACAGACAAATAAAAGCAAAAATAAGAATAGCAAAAAAAGATTGGCTTGAGCAACAATGTATCGATCTAGAACATTTGCAACGACAGGACGACGACCGTAATTTACATAAAAAGCTTAAGGAGACTGCTGGAATATACAGAAAACGAAGACCAACTACCATAGTTAATTAGGATAAGGAAAGGGCAATATTAAATTCAAAAAACAATAAGGCACCTGGACCAAATGAAATCCCGTCAGAAATTCTCAAATTACTAGATGAAAGGGGAATTTCAGCACTACACAAAATATTTAATTTAATTTATGAAACTGGCTGCTATCCTCAACAGTGGTTACGCTCTACCTTTATTCCCCTGTCCAAGAAAGTCAATGCAAAAAGATGTGAAGATCACAGACTCATTAGCCTGATGAGTCACATTTTAAAGATATTCTTAAAAATACTACATCAAAGATTATACAAAAAATGTGAAAGGGACATCAGTGATTCCCAGTTCGGGTTTAGGCAAGGTTTAGGAATACAAGAAGCAATAGTAGCAACACAGTGCGAGCAATAGAGAATTAATGGAAAATGTGATCGCTAACATCCATTAGTGGATTTGCATCTGAAGAAGAAGAAGAAGATCTCTCTACTTGGCGATCTTTTCGTTGTATTTAACACGCAGATTATTGTTGTTAGGTATGGGCACATCGATTAGTACTGTTTGTCTCGTTAGTTTATTAACTGTTACGATATTTGGTCTATTGTGTGCTACTGTTTGATCTCTGAGCACCGTGCGGTTCCAATATAGCTTAAAGTTATCATTTTCAAGTATACTCTTTGGGACGTATTGATAATATGGGAGATGGTTTGCTTGAAGAAGTTCCAGTTTGATAGCTACTTCTTAATGAAGAATTTTCTCTACTGAATCATGTCATGGCCGTTTTGGACTTGAGGAATTTTGACGATAATTTTGTATTGGTATATCCCGATCCTAAATGGTAAGTAATGAACCTTCTGTTTTAGGGAACATCTTTGTCGCCCGTACAGAAGTTTACTCATCCAGGTGCACATTTTTTCGCCCTTGGTAAGATAGTTTATGAGCATTTCTGATTCCCTCAGTTCGATCAGTAGAGTAGATCATGTAGGTTAGATATCTCAGCTTGTATCTGAAAATAAGTTCTGAAATTGGAAATTTGTTTTTTATTTGCTCACTTATATCCAATAAATTCTCGTCCTAAATACCGCGGTAATGTTCTTCTTTCTACTACACTTCTAGGATGGTGTTTTTGACCTTTGTGAGGTGTGCCCGTACTTTTTGTTAAATATTTTCTATATTCGGTTTTGTCCACTTAACAATGGCAAATGAGTAGCTAAACGCGGAACATGTGTAGCTGTTTAGTGCCTTAAACAAATGTTTACTGTTAAAGTGAGAACAGACCAGCTATTTTACCCTTCATATAAACTTCTTAGTTATCTCAGTTTGTATTTTCTTATGGTCAGTCTCCCACGAATGCTTTATTCCGAGCTATTTATACATATAAGTTTCATTCATGGCCTTGAAGTTTTGGCAAATTCCTTTGTGCATATCAAATTCGCTGGGCTGAACCTCTTATTTGATTATATTTAAGACAAGGCACTGGTCAAGACCAAACTTATACTAATACCATTAGAGAAATTTTCTACAGAGGTGGCTTCAAGTGAAAGCCAATAGTTTCAAATCATCCATATGCAATAGATCAATAAGCTTTGCGACTACGTTAGTGTTATTTTTGATGCTAAAGCATGTATCAGTTGAGTTCACTAGCTGGGATAGGGAGATCATCGTTAGAAAAAACTACAGTGGGTTCAACGAGACTTCTTGTAATAGACCGCGGTTAATTGTAATATTTTCAGTTTCGATATTGTTTTCACCAGGTATTTGATGCTGAATTTTAGTCTTCAACTCCGTCACTATATGCTTTAAAAAGGTAACTATGTAATTATCGATTTTCTACATTTTTAATATATCTATAAGACATTCATGCTGCAATGAATAAAACGCTTTCTTGTAGTCGATTAAACACAGTAAAGAGGATTCTTTTTGGTATACGCTTAGTTAGAAATATCGTAGTCGATGATAATTTGTTCTTTGCAGCCCATGGAATGCTTTGCGCATCGTTTCTGTTAATGCTCTATAATATTGTTTAGAGCACAGTGTTGGTAGAGACGCTAAGCTACACAGAATATGACCAATTTACACAAAGTTGGAAGACAAGTAATTGGGCGATACTTGGCTGGATCGTAAGTGTTATTGTGGTCCTTTGATATTAATTAATTTCTTTCCTGGTTTCGAAAAGATATTCCGCAGGTATTTCCTCCAGATTATGGTGATTAATTAATGCTGATAAGCACTCATGAAAACTCCAGAACTTCTGAAATCAGATGTTTTGAACTCTATCTGGTCCAGAAGATTTTCAGTTATTAAGAATCTCTTTGATAATATTTGAAACTTCTTCAGCAGTGAATGGTTCGTAAAAAGTAGTAACATAGTGTTAACATTCATTATTATTTTTATTATTTTTTATTTTCTAGTACGAAGTTTGGTTATTATCCTGATTGTTGATACTAATACAGTTGCAACTATTTCGATTATTTGTATTATTTTGTATTGTTATATATATTGTTATTATATTTGTATTATTTGTGAACTTTAACTCATTTTGAATTTGATGGAAAAACAATCTATAATTATTATTTTAAGCTCTGTTCAAAACTTTATTATATTGATATTATTTTTGACAATAATAAGCATAAAAATAATAATTATTTTGTTACAGTTGGCTGTTATTAAACAATGGTTGGAAGACAAAGCAAGCAGAGTAGTAAGTATTAATAATCCAAAGAAATAAACATTTTAATTGAAAACTAAGCATAGTAGATATGAAGTTTTAAGATATGTAGATTATTAAACACAGCAAAACGTGAAAATCCTACTGATTAAACAAAACGCTTAAATATAGGATATGAAATAAGAAAACTAGAACTAGATGGGAGGATAAAGGTTAATAACCAGAAGATCGTAAAAGTGAAAGTAGAATGTAATAGATAAACACGTAAAAAGAAAATCAAGAAACAGATCAGTGAGTATAGCAAGAGTCCAATCGCCATTTGAAAAAAGGACAAAAGAGCATCCAAGAAAAACGTGAGCAGACCGTAATTAATGGAGATAAAAAATACCTTTGTGCCTAATAAAATATGAGGAAGAAAGAAAATCTGTAAATTGCACGGAAAATTACTTAAATTTTATAGCTATAAAAAGCTAGGCACTAATGAGATGGTAGAAATGTTGCATCGTATATATTTTTTCTTATTTAAAAATGTGTAAAACAAAATATTGGCTTAATATCTTTTAATTTTTTTTTTGTTTTAGCGTTCAAGTGTTGTTGAATTAGAGAAGAAGGTAAGATTATTCTTTACACTTAATATAAAAAAAAACAATAATAAAAATTAATCTATTTATATTAAGATAATTAATTTATTATAACCCCTAACTATTTAGGGGTCTCAAAATATGTGTATAAGATGAAAAGCCACCGTATAATATACATATTTCTGACTATTGGTCATCTTCAGTACGGTGGTGTAGCCAAGTTAGAAAAGGAGCATATTAACTTGGAAAAGGATCACTATGGGAGCAATGCGAGCAATTTTTGGCAATAATATTAGAAGACTCTGAAGTTCCCAGAGCAACAATAACACATCCACTTAGGAAGCTAAGCTACCCGAGGAAAAGAATGCTCATCGTTTCAAACAACAAGAAAAAGTTTAATGCGAGTGGATAATAAAATAAAGGTAGAAGGTATCTTTATAGCTTGAAACAAATAAAAAATATATATAACAAAATATGCGTATAAGATGAAAGAAATAAGATGACCAATAGTCAGAAATTTATATATACGGTTGCCTTTCATGGAAGCAACTTTGTTTTAAGTCTTTTGTTGCCATGAAGTCGTAAATTATTCTATTGCCTGTTTTTATTTTGATTCTTGTACCTACATATGTATAATTCTTAATAATATTCATTATGATCACGGTTATGATGTTTTTCCAAGACATCAAAATTTTAATCTCGAAACAATATCATATTCTTTTTTTAGATCTGCCAGCAAGAGATGCATTCATTTCTTTGACTTTGTGGTCGTTTCCTATTATTTGAGATAATGTAATTTGAGGTAATATGCTGCCAACAATTATTGATCCAAATGCACTCAAGCCATTTTATTCTTCTGATTCATATGAATGGTGTTCTTCGCATATGACCTCGTTTATTTATTTATCATATTCTACTTAGCATATTTGTTTTTGTTCTGCCTCTGCATTTATTGTATTTATCCCTATTGCCTTTTTCTTGAATAAAGCTTATCCAGCCTCCTTTTTAAATTTGCGGTACAAGTTCTCCGTTAAAGTGACTATTGAATATTTCTGTTAGGATAAAAGCTGACTTGTCTGTTCCGTTTTTTTTAATGGAGAGGAACGAACAGTTTTATAACCACTGGTATTAATAATTCCCTAACTGTAAAAAAAACATATTTTCTAATAGGATAATTACTAAATAGAAAAGACAGTACGAGAACTTAACTATTTTATTTTCATTTCCAGGTAGTGCCAGCCATTCAAAAGTTGAAGGTAAGATAATTCAATATTTAACACATTTTAGTTTCAATTTCCTATAATTTAAAAACATAGATATGGGAATATAACACAAAATAAAATAAGCTCACTACAGTTTTCACTCTGATTATAATTTCACGTGGTGTTTAATTCTATATTGGTATTAGTGTACCTGCAGATTTTATAAGAAATAATAAATTTTTGCTTAATAAAAGCAGCTAAATAGGTGCACAATACAGCATTTTAAAGTCAACAAAATGCACTTAATGTATTAAATACCTTATAAAAACTACAAGAACAAGTTTTAATCCCAATACAAGTTTTAGTCTCGTTGTAACCATTATTTTGCCTATCAAATAGGTTATTATTCTACGAGGGCTGAAAATTTGTGACAGAAATTACGGTGCTAGAGATAGGACAAGCAAAACAATCCGAAACTTTTGCGAACGGCTACTCAGGGTTTATTTGAGAGCTGGGTCATGAATAAGTAAATGACAATGGGATTGTATTGGGGCAACTACAAAAATTAACCAAAAGGGGTACTTACATGAGTCTCCTGGACAAACAAAACACAAGAAGGTTCTCAAGCCATTTAAAATAAGGACGCCGCTTTAAAGAATCTTCCTGCTGGATGAAAGAAAATGGTTCCTTCCTAAATATACAAAAAGGGGTTAGAAACCTTTTTTTTAAGAAAAAATGCGCCTTAGAACAAAAATTACACATTTATTGTTGTCTCGCCACAAATAGTTACAAATATAAATAGTAATAATAAAATACAAAAAACAAACTTACTATATTACTATCCGTTTACAAACTATAGAAGTTGGAGTTACTACTAGAACTTACAATTGTTACTTTACAACAATTGGTAACGAAAAAATTCGAAATAAAAAATAGCTTTTTAAATAAAACTATGCATAGAGACAAAAATTTATACATATTTAGAAACAAAAACAAAACAAGATCTTAATTATAATTTTACTGATTACAATCTCTTAACCTGTTATGGAAGCAATTATTTAACAAAACAGATTAAAATTTTTGTGGTTAGAATTTACAAATGTTATAATGTTACATACTACAAATGAAAAACTGTTTATTTTTACATGAAAAAAGTTTAACTATAAAATGGTTAATGGTATTTTATTAAATGTTAATTTTTTTTCTTTTGAAATTTCTGGAGATAGAACTGGGCTCAGATTGACTGCAACTCAAGCAAATGTATATCCAACTGATAACCTGGGATAAACAAAATGAGCATGATGAATTTGACACTCGGCTTATTAAAAGCTCAACAATTGAACATGTGCGTATTTTTAAAATTTGTTGAAAAACGCCGTTTTACAAATTTCTCAGATAAGCGATGGCATAAAAATTAAAAACAGTGATAACCGTTGCAGAACTGACACATTACATTGAGTATAATTCACTTTTTTTAACAAATTTTGCCGGCTTCTCCAAACTACACACACCGGCGTTTCTATCAAGATCCTCCCCAACCTCACTTAAAACTGTAACTACACGTTAAACCGCTACAATACAACACATTTTCCTGTAGTAAAAGACGAAAAACGGAAAAACTGCGAATTTGATGAAAATCGGACTACAACGGAACCAATTGTCCTTGACAGCGGCTTTACGGAGAGTGATGTAATTATCTTTAAAATTCATTCGCCCAACTCAGTATAAACAAAACATATACGGTTAAATTCCTATTTATTTAACTCGCAGAATATCCTAAAAGGGGCTCTCGGTCAAAAGAATACCGAGGAAATACACATCTGTGATATATAAATAAACTTTAAAATGTGTGAATTATCAATTCTCAGCGACGCAAAATGCTATATCGTCAATACCACGTTTGACGATATGTTAATGTTGACGTTGTTTTTTAATTGTTAACAATTTAGTGCGAACAATGCGTTTTTTTTTTAATAATTGGGTTACCATTAAAAAGGTATAAATCTATCCTTAAGTATAAACATTTTATCTCTTAAGATATTGAAAATATTCCAAATGACTTATTCCAAAAATGTTTAAATTAATTTGTTGGTCCAATAACAGCAAAATAAGGCAAATTTGTATTGTTTATAACTTTTATATACATTAACTTACACTTTTGTTTTACTGCAGTAATCAGAGACGAGAATACCACTCAACCTCTAAAAATCATACTTACAAGCTGAATTTTTCTGAGAATATTAATTTTGGGATCCCAAAAAGATGCAAAAAAAACGGGTGTGGCTGTCTAGTGGGACTGCCGGGAGAAGTTGTACTTCTATACACGCGTTGGCCGTTACAAATTTATATGGGGGTCAATCTGCACAATCATTCTATATGTAATTCAATAGGTAAGATAGAGCAGAAACAGAAACAGAAATAGGTATATAGGTATATGGTGCATCGTTTGCTGCATATAAACAACATTTGACCTGTAATAGGAGTATCGTAAATGAAGGATTTAATCAATATTTTGATGAAAATGTATATTGATATTTTCATATATGTATGAAAGGAGTTAAACGCAAAAAAAACTTACACATAATCTGCAGTAAAATTCATTGTTTATTTTGTTATTAATATACAATAAAATTAATAATAAATTAAAATACAATACAATACACTGCAACATAATTCAATATAATAATACAATACAAATTAAAATGCAATATTCATAAGTATTTAAAAATGACAATATACAAAACTTACTTACGCATATGTTTAATTTTCCATGATCCTAATATCAATAAAATAAAAATATTGTTTCGTGATACAACTGTCAATTTCTCTGACATTAACAGATATAAAATTTAATTATTGTTTGTTGTGTACATATATAAGTACACATTTGAACTTTCTTGAGATATTTATAAGTTTTAATTTATAATTTAACATGCCTAATGAGGCTCCAGACAAATCTGAACAGAATGGAAAAATAATAATAATATTAATAAATATTAAATATATTTATAAAATGAACATTTTTATTCTCTATACAGAAAGAGAGAGAAAATATATCTTCTGCTTCTCTCTTACCCATGTCTTATATATGTAATGATTTTGCCGATTCACTCCCGTAAAAATTTCCAACGTTGAACGCGCGTATAGAATTATAACTTTAAAAAGTTAACTACTTTTACCCCTGGGCTTCCCCCTAAAATCCCCCTCTTAGTGGGGTAAAATGCAAAAAAATCTATTTACCAAAAATCAGTACGCCGTAAAACAAAATGCTTCAAAAAAACTAAAAAGAGCTCATAAAAATTTGATTGAACATGGATTTCGCACACGTAACTGACATTCAAAATCGACGTTCGCTTCAAGCGTAGTTTCAGAGAGAACGGTTGATTCTACACAAAAAGTGATTTTCTCCAGCTATATTTTTTATTTAAAAAAAATTTTTTCTACGGCGTATATATTCTTGATCAATCGATTTTTTTGTGTTCCTACCTCCCTACGAGGGGAGTTTTAGGGGAAACCCGGGGGTTAAGTGGTGAACTTTTTTGCACCTTTTTTGGGGCCCCAAAATTAATATTCTCAACAAAATTTAGCTTGTTCATATGATTTTTTAGGGGTCAACTCTCGGACGACTGTACTATTTCCAAAATTTTATTTATATTATTTATTTATATGCAAATTTAAAAAAATCCCTACTTTTTACCTAATTGTCCTACAATTTTGTTTTGTTTAAATTCGTGTAAAAATTGTCAACTGTCCAATTATGAATAAAATATTTTATCTGTGAGTAATAGTTTAAAAGCTATTCAAACTACTTATAAGTTAAAAATGTCAGTAAATTTTCAAAACGATTTTTGGTTATAAAAAAGATTTTTTTTTTAATTTTTTTGTGATTATAAAGAATAAAAATCTTCACCTTTCATATGGTACGCGTCGCATTACTTTTCATTACCTTATGTCAGATGTTATTACAGGAAAATGACGTCTGAAAAAAAAACAATTTAAATAACTTTGAATCTAATTAATGGATCAAGCTTTTTAAGGGGATTGACACTAGAACAGCCCATTGGGAGCAGGCTATTTTTGGAATAACAAATTAATTTAGAAAATTAAACATTACGCCATTTTGATTTTTGAGAGCCAAAGATTTTTGTATCTCTTAACAGATAAAATGTTTATTTATATTTAAATGTAAGTAGATACCTTTTTAATAGTAAGCGATAATTAGAGAAAAAATGCATTTCTTGCACTAAATTTTTGTTAATAATTAAAAAGCCATGCCGAAATGTCTACAGAAAACATATACCTACATATATGTTTATAGGTTTTCTTACTATAGGTATATATGAGTATTAATAGGAAAACTCATTAAATACCTGGCTATTGCTAAGTCCCGAACACGATTCAATTTTGCTTATTTTCCTAGAGTACCACATATCTACCATAATGTATGCTCAGTAAGAGACCTTTGGCTTGAAGTTAATTGCGTGTAACGAAATATACGTTTTGTCATTGTGAACCTAAGAAATCATCTAGTAGTTAAGTGGCTAATATCAATAACAAAATTGTAAGCACAATTCTTTTGTATTTTTTTCAAATAATCTTGACATCTAAAATGTTCAAATTATAAAGTAAATACGAATTAACTCTAAGTAATAACCTTACTAAAACGACCTCAGGATATATCAAAGTTATACTATAAACAGCGAGCAAAAGTACGTGTTAACGAATAGTTGTCAGAAGAATGTTGAAATTAGATGTGAAGTGAGACAGGGATGCGTATTGTCGCCAATTCTTTTTAATGCCTACTCCGAAGAGATCCTGAAAAACGCTCTTGAGGGTGAAGCAGCTGAAATAAAGGTAAATGGAGTTCCCATTAACAGCATTAGATATGCGGACGACACTGTGATCTTAGCCGAAAACATTGTGAAGATCTTCAGAGACTGGTGACCAGAATAGCAGAGTATGGAAAAAAGTATGGTCTAACAATGAATGTCAAGAAGACGAAATTTTTGAGAATATCGAAAACTCAAAGAAATAACGAGAATCTTCTAATAAACGGAACCCATGAATTAAATTATTAATCCCATTGAAGAACAATGATTAATTCCACAAATGATTACATTCAGAAGATCAAAATAACAATAGAAAAGGCTAGAGCAAATTTCAACAAAATGAGAAGAGTTCTATGTACCAGTGATTTAAAACTGGATCTAAGAGTTAGGTTGGCGAGGTGCTATGTTTTTTCGACTTTATTTTATGGAATGGAATCTTGGACCTTGAAGACAACATCAATCAAAAAACTGAAATCAATCGAGCTGTGGGTGAACAGAAGAATTCTGAAAATATCGTGGACAGAACACGTCACAAATAAAGAGGTTCTGAGACGAATGAATAAACAAATGGAAATTTTAAATACAATTAAAAGAAGAAAATTAGAGTATCTCGGACATATTACACGTGGAGAGAAATACATATTGCTCGAAATGATTATGCAGGGAAAGATCCAAGGAAAGAGAAGCATAGGGAGGCGTAGAATGTCATGGCTGCGCAACCTGACAGAATGGTACGGATGTACATCAAATGAACTTTTCAGAGCAGCCATCTCAAAAGTCCGAATAGCTATGATGATTGCCGACCTCCGCCGCGAAGATGGCACCTGAAGAAAAAGAATAAACTTAATGACCTTTACCGGCGTAACCTATGCTTAAGTAACTTCTGTATATCCTTTAATATTTTATTAAAAAAATATTTTTGTTTCAGGCTGATGCATCCAGTGCTCTTGACGCCATTAAACAAAAAGTTGAAGTAAGTAAATAAATCATAAAATTAAAATATTTTTGTATCAAACGTAGTGCTAATTTATAAAATGAAAACATTTATTTTGTAAATAAAAATTTCCAAATAAATCAGCCAGGATGAAAAAAAAACAGGGACGAGAAAAGCTAAAAATTAAAACATACCTCAAACTTATCCTCAAACTGGGATATCCTTAATCAAAATCAGGCAATAATATGAAATTAAGATGTAGGTACATGTTTTAAACTGGTTATTAATTGTAATGGAAAATGCTAACCCTTATTAGGTTAATACTCTGCATATATCTATGTTGTGAATTGTTAAAGAAGGTAGATATTTAGAAGCAAAAGTTTAATGTTAATCCCATATAATTAATTACTACTTAAATTTGAATAAGCCACAATTAAAGGTTAAAATACGTTTATTGACGATTCAATTTCCACTTCGGAAATCGTTTTCAAAATACAAACATTAGTGCTTATGTATTGTTCAATTTTAATAGACTTTTTCACTTCAAGTGTACATAATACTCTGTTTTCTTCCTTTTCGTGGGTCGGTAAACATTGAGATATTTTCTCCACTGAGCTTATTATGTCTAATTTTGGAATTGATGGCTGAATAACAGAAAAGTTTAGACCCTTTGACAGTATTAAATTCTCTGTTGCATTTAAATGTATATTTGATAGATTGACAACTGTCGCTAATATGTCATCATTTCTATTGAGGTTATCTAAAGTGTGTATATCTTAGATAAGGAAAGAGAGAGGAAACGTAACCGTATCGCTAAAAGTGAAGCCAAACTGCCACCGAAGAAGTAGTCAGCGTTGTACCTTTGAATTTTTAAGGATTGACTAATTCGTGTTTAAAATGAAACATTTTTGTTCATTGAATGTTATTTAATTTATTTTACTTTATGCAGATATTTTGGAATCAAAATTAACGAAATTTATTAACTTATTTACTTATTTATGGAATTTTATGGAATTTTAATCCTCAACGCTCACTGCCACTGGCAAATCATCATGGACTGTGAGTGAAATTATTAATTATAATACAATTAATATGCATATTTAGCATTCTTATTTAGTAATTTAGATCTCACCTTTCCTTAAAATACTAATTTAAATTGGCTTTGAGATAAAAATTAAAATCAATTAATACCTAATTGCACTATTATAAATATTTACCTATGAAACGATATTCCTGGTGTTTTCTGATCGCTACGATTTTTATAAAGAATATATGCACAATTCACCATTTTGTTAATAAATAGGTATTTAATTCACTTAAAAAACCACAAAAACAAAACTGGTGTCAGGTCTTTTGTTTGCCACCACAAAAATGGCGGACACATCAAAAAGTGGTATCACTTTTTGAAGGTCGGTTGAATGAGCGTTACCCGTCCTCAATCTTTCCTTCTCTAAGGTCTATACTGTTTTGTTCTAAAAGAAATATATTTAAATGTATATTTCTTTGTTTTTTATATGAATTTTCATATACTAAAAATAATTGGATCAAAATCAGAATTTGATATCACATTGAAAAGCAAATCTTCAATACTCACAATATCTTGTTCAACAAAAAATAAATTAGATCTATAATACTGAAACCTTTCGCGGATCATGGACAAACTGGCTCTATGTAGAATGTTTTCCAACTTTCTGCTTGAATATGCTGGACGTAACTTCAAGCCCTTTGATATTAGGTTGTTGTCTCTACATATTCGTAAAAATTTAATTAAATTTTGATAATGTGCCAGTTTCTTGTTTAGAATTTCCAATCTCCAAAAATTTTGAATAACGCTGGGCCCATAACTGATTCTTGGTATTGTTCTGAAGCTATTTTCTTGTGGCATTTTACAGTAATTACTATTTAAATGGGAATAAGCCACAATGGATGCAAATTGCCCAAGATAGAGAGGCATGGAAGAAGGAGGAGGAGGCCTATATCCAAGGATGGATGTTAAGGGCTGTATAGATAGATAGATAGAAGCCACAATTAAAGATTGAAATAGGTTTACTGACGTCTCAATTTCCACTTCGGAAATCGTTCTCAAAATACAAACATTATATAATTAAGTTAAATATTTGCCTAATAGTTCTATATTTGCCTTACACAGTTCACACATTAAAATGTGCGTGACTTTATTAAAGGTGTCGGTTTTCCTATTAAAGAAAGTTCATTCAATTCAGTTAATACAAAAAAATTGAGTTATTTCCTGAAGTTAAGTGATAGGTACCTACAACATAAAGATTGTAGAGTAGGACTAGACTCTGAATTAGAACTAGACTAGACTAGTAAATGAATCCAAACGTTAGCTTAAACCTACTATCAATCTAAATTTCGTATTCTTTTTCTTCTTATTCTTCTTTTTATGTAGAAATGACTATCTGTTTTACAATGTGCCTCCAATAAGTTGTCGTTCCATCGTTTTCATGGTCTTCCTACTAATCAACTTCCTATTGGGGAAACGTCTTTACGACTCTATTTTTTGCCATTTAGCTTATATGATCGTTCCATTCTACCTATCTATTTCTTACCCAGTCCTTAATGTTCTCCACCTTGCATCTCCACCTTTTACTAAGAGACTACTGTCTGGCTTGGCCGATGAAACTCGTCTCTTCGATAACTGAGCAGCCTCTACTCCCTACTGGATGGAAAAACTCTCTGTTACTAATAGCGAATCGGCCTCCACCTCTAGGTAAGATACGACTGTCTTGTTAGGCCGATAAAACTACTCTCTGGTACTGTCTATTACTGACTGTTTGCAAAACCGGCGATTAGTTGGAGAAACGTTTTTTACAAGTCGCCTCTAGGTGTGAGCGATAATTACCCAAGCGATCTGCACTTTTAATGAAAGCCACTTATTTGTCTATAGCTCTTTGTTAAGATATAATGTATGAATAAACAGTTCAATTCATTGCAACATTGTAAAAAAACCGTTTACTGTTTGATCAAGTCTGTGTTTTAGTCAACGAAATCTAGGCTAACTATACAAGGAGAATCAAAACTAGTAAATGTATCTTAATATTTTAACAATGTTTATACACAGTTTTCGAAAATGTCTTGCTTGGCCGATGAAACTCGCCTCTTTGATAACAGCCTCCGCACCTTATGGATGGAACAACTCTCTGTAACTGTTGGCGAAACGGCCTCCATCCTTAGCTAAGACGCGACTGTCTTGTTAGGCCTATGGAACCACTCTATGGTTCCATATGTAACATTTTCCCGAATATTCATAAAAAATTAATCTTTTAATTGGTCGTCCATAAAAGTGTAAGATAACAAACGTTTCAGATCTTAGAGATTATGGCAATAAATGACACCTGCATATCCTGATGTTATTGATCATATTGATTGTTTTATACCTTGTTTACTTGGATGCCAATTACTTGGTTTCCTAAAGCTTCCTTTTAAAGATTTTTTGAAAGTTTAGCTTAAGTTAATGACAGAAAGTAAATACTTTTGTTTGAATAATAATAAATTAGATACTGTATAAATATTACCAATAAGGTGTAAAGAAAAGATGGTATGAAAAAGTTACTACGAAAAAGTAGCTACAGTGATAATATAATGTAAGTGTTAGTCTATACCTTTCTGCAGTAAATCTGTTATGATGAGAATCCTAATCTTTTCAATTGCATGATTTCTGTGTCGAGAAATCTAGACATTAATAAAATGAGGATTTTTAATTTTTAGTTTATATAAAGGACATTAATGGTGGTCTAAGACAGGGGGACGTGCTGGCCTGTCTCATCTTTAATATTGCCTTGGAAAAGGCAATCAGACAATTAAATATTGGAATAAATAGAACTATTTTTAATAGATCTACCCAAATTCTTGCATTCGTTGACGATATAGTTATAGTGGGCAGAAGTATGAGAGACATGATGCAGTGTTTTACAAGGCTTGCGGACACGGCAAATGACTTTTGGCAAACGAGGAAAAAACCAAATATATGTTGGTGTCCAAAAACCCCCGAAATATCCAACAGAAAATTGAAATTAATGACCATACCTTTAAGCAAGACAAAGAATTCACATATCTTAAAAAGACGCATAGCAATAGCAAACAGGTCTCCTGTTCACGGTCTCCAAAAACATTTAAAAAATAAAAATTTTAAACGTGAAGTAAAGCTCAATATATGCAAGACCTTAATAAAACCGGTTTTAATATATGGGACTGAAACGTGGACCTTTTTTTCAAAATAATGAGACTTCTTGGTATTTTTGAGAGAAGATTTTTGGGGCTGTAAATGAAAATGGGTTATGACGTCTAAGATACAACTTTGAACTATATCAGGAGAGATCACGGAGACATTATTATTTTCAAAATCAGAGGAAACAAGAAGTAGAGGATGACCACGAAGGAGATGGACCGATGATCTAAAAGAAGACGTACAGATTCTAATTGCCAAGATCCACAACGAATTGTCGAGTCACTTATGATAATTATGAATTTATAGATAGACATAAATTTTAACTTTTATTGGGCTTATTATATCATACAATCAGATTATCAAAAAACTAACTTTATATCCCTAAAACTCCTAACCTTTCACCCTTCGTTTCTCTTCTAAAAATAAGGACACATTTTTTATTCTTATCGAACATGGCTTGCTTACTTAAAAATAATCAAATTAAAGATTTCTTTGTTTAAATATTTTTTTATTTGTAGTAATATTATAAAAACTATTTGCAGGGTCATCTATAAGTTACACCAGTCCGACAATGCAGTTGAAGCCCCGTGTATAGCTTGGGTTTGATGGTTTGAAGAAATTATTTTCTGTTTAATTTCACACAACCACAGTTAACAATGAACAACTATTGAAATGTTAAAAATAAATTTTTACTACTGCAACTCTATGGTATTTTTTATTTTTATTTTATTTTTATTTTTATTTAATTAAAAGTGAATAATTTGGAAGATAACACGTTCAAACATGACACGCATATCACAACCACATGTTCAATATAAATATAATAAATCAGTGCAAATCCTAAAAGAAATACTGAAATTAAAAGAATCAGCTACAAAAATGGGTTTAATAATAAACACCAAAAAAGCAAAGTATATAAAAATAAGCCCGCAACCAAAAATCTTACGGCCACTTGTTATAGAACGACGTCATCGAAGTAGTGAACGAATTTGTATACCTGGGAGCGCTCCTTCACTAAAAATAATACTACCGCAGAGATAAACCATTTGGGCTCAGTATCCTCCTTAAATTCACAATTATATCGATAAATACAAAAATAAAATCATGAATGTATTGCTTGTGTGAGTCCATTTCAAATAGGTAAAAAAGAAATAAATAAGACTTACTCACAATCAGTCTAATTTAACTACCTAGACGACCGGTTTCGCTTTCTATAATTTGCAAAGCATCTTCAGGTCAGTCGATACAAAGTTAAAAATGCTGAAATAATAAAACCCATTTAGGGTGTTGTTTTATAAAGATAAACATAAAGATAAGATAATATAAATTACAGTAATTATGTCAATTATGTCAGTATGGTACATGTCTCTGGTTTTTAATATGAATAAACTGTTTAAGCAGACAAAGTAAGACCTTCAAATTGGTATGAAATAATATATTACATTGTAATAAATTAGTAAATAAACAAAACATTACTTACATGTCGGTAGACTATTTAATAATGAACTAGCCTGTAATTGCTGATGATGGGGATCTTCAGTTTTTACTATTGTAACTGTTTGATAATTAACGGGGAAGTTCCTTGAGGAGATAGATATTAACCACTGAAGTAGAAAAAAAACGTATAATGTGATTGTTTGTTAAATGAAAGTGATGTTCTGTTTTATTCAATTCATTAAAAGTTATTTATATTTATTCAAGAGATATATTTTAGATAGATAAGAGATATAAATGTGTGTTTATTTATTGAAATTTTCTGATTAAGGTGATAGTTGTGTGACAATGAATGAAATTAGATGTACAATTGTGTGGGTGTGCAATTCCTTTAACTTGTAATTCTCAAATTTCTTTGATAAATTTTAATTAGATTACTGTTGTTTGGCAGATAATTGTAATGTCAAATATGTTAAAATTATTAAAACTAAAACAATTAAGGACACTTAGGGGCAAACAGAACACAATTAATACCTTGGCTACCGCCCATTTAAACTAATAACTTGTAATTTTGTACCAAATATTTTGTTATCAAATTTTAAGCTTATCTTCTTTATTATGTCAAAGACAGTGTAAAAATATTATCACAAAAAATATTTTGCTGAAATAACTGCTTCCGTCATTTGCTATTCATTTGCAATTTAGAAGTGGAATATTATGTGTATTGAAACGCTGTTCTAATAGATTTTGAGTGTTTATTGTGTCGAATTGTTTTCTAAAATAACATCAAGTAGCTTCAGCGAATTTTTGAGTTTTTAGTAAGTAAAAATCACAATAAATAATACATTCATTTTTTTGATATCACTCTTTTTAGTTTCTACTATGTCTGAAAAACAAGTGAACCAATGGCTGGCATGGTATGAAGAAATCCCATCGGACGAGGATAATACTTCTGATGTCGAGGAACCATTTGAGGACAGTGGAAGTGAATATGAGATAGACGACGATACTGAGGAGAGCAGTGATGAGAATCCAGAAGATGAACCAAAAACAACAGAGTTTCAATCTAATGAGGAAGGTGAAGAATGGGGAGAGGTAAATGGTGCATACTTAAAAGATTTAGTATATTCTGGAACGGGAGGAGTTAATAATGTATTAGATGGTGATATTACTCCAATAAAAATTTTTATCTTGCTATCATTGATGATGACGTCCTAGACCTAATTAGAATTCAGACGAATATTCAGGCTTCAAGAACTACAAAGGGCAAATGGATACCGATTGCGAATAATGTTAAACTACGAAAATTTTTTGCTATCATAATTTACATGGGCCTTGTAGTATATCAAAAATATCTGATTACTGGTCAAGAAATATTTTATTTGCAAATAAGTTTGTACCACAACTTATGTCGCGTAATAGATTTCAGTCTATACTACGACACCTGCATTTCTCTGATAACAGCACTAATAATCCAATGATCGATTAGCCAAAATTAGACCATTAGTCGATATTCTTGTACATAAATACAAACACCTAAAAACTCCCGAAGAAGTTGTCGTAATTGACGAATCGATGGTACCTTTTAGAGGTAGATTAATTTTTAAGCAATACATCCCTGGAAAAGCTTCTAAATATGGTGTAAAATTATTTAAAATTTGTGATTCTCAAGGTTATACTTACCACGTTAAGATTTACGAGGGTCAAATGAAGCAGAAAAACAGAGAAGAGAGAGCAAGTAATAAAGTTGTTTATGAACTGCTTGAAGATTATGTTGGATGTGGAAGAACTTTAGTAGTAGATAATTTTTATACTAACCCACAATTAGCTCAAACCTTGTTAGAAAAAAAAACACATTTATTTGGAACACTAAGAAAAAACGTGAAAAATTGCCCAAAATCTATTCTAGAACCTAAAAAGATGAAACGTGGAGAGATTGTAGGAGAGGAAAGTAAAAAAGGATATGTAGTTGGGAACTGGAAGGATAAGAGGAACGTAAGATTTTCTATCAACAAAACATACATTGAAAATGTGTGAACTTACAAAAAAAATAGGAGAGGAGAACCTGTCATAAAGTCCGAAGCTATTGTTTTTTACAATAAATACAAACAAGGTATCGATATATCTGACCAAATGGCCAGCTATTATAGTGTGTTAAGAAGAACCATCAGATGGTACCACAAAGTAGCTTTGGAGTTACTTTTAGGAACTTCGGTTGTTAATGCTCATCTTCTATATAAAACAATTACGGGTAAAAACATTACATCTAGAGATTTTAGACTACAAATTATTCAAAGTTTTGCATCCATTTCGAACGAGAAGAAAGTTGAAAAGAAAGAAAGAAAAGAAGAAGAAAAAATCCCAAAACATGAGCTGATTCGAAGTACAAGAAAAAGACGAGAGAAACAGAAAGAAGAGAAAGCGTTGTATGACATGTTACAATAAGTTGTTAGTTAGTCATGATAGAAAGTTTGCACAGAATAAATGCAAGCAGGTGGCAACGTTTTGTAACAGTTTGTTCAGGAAATCCATATGTGTTTGGATTGTTTTAACTTAAAACATTAAATGATTGTAAAAATTTCATTATTTTTTGTAACTTGGTATTTTGTATTTGATTTTTTACGCAATAAAGTTTTTTTTTTACTTTATTATTAACCTGAATTCATTAAAAATCACATTTTACTTTCAATCTCTAATATGCAAGTTATATTACACTTTTTCAAAAACCATGGTAACTATAAGTTCATTACTTTATTTTGAAACCAATACGAGAAACTAAAAAACTCTCGTTTTAACCCAGGCTGTTTTAGAGCATTTTAAGTCATTTAATAACGCTGGATGCCGGCATCTCACACGGTACCACAGTCATATTTTGTGTGAGATGCCGGCATCTCACACGGTAGCCAAGGTGTTAAAACTGACAAAACAGACATTCAATTTAAAATGGGGGACTTAATAGCACTACATCTCTGAATTGGAGAACATGAGTTTTTTGTTGTCTATTAGATTTTTAGAGGTAAATTTGACAAGCTAATGTAGGTTAAAGTGTGGCAGTTCTTCTTCAATTTCTCCTTCAATTTTATTGACAGTTCAGCGGGTGGCAAAAGTGTATTAAGTGTTGCCGCTTTTTTAGAGCAGGAATTTTGTTTATGTTTTGAGTGGTTTTGATTTCTTACACAATTTGATCATAATATAATATATGATATAATATATATTAATAAATTGTATTTTAAAATACATACTAAATTTAGATTAATAGCTTTAAAACTAATTATTGTTGTGTAGTGTGATTGTGATATGCGAAAACAAATAAATAGTCTATAGAAAGCTGATAAGCTTTCATATAAGATAAATTATTTTTAACAAGAAATAATGGCGAGACGTTTTTACTATTAAAGCCCTAAAAGAGGTAAGTTTACAATTTAGTATTAAATGTATAAACTAATGACAAAAAACAATCTTTACAAAATGAATAAAATGCATAAGTCAGAAGAATACATATTATTATTTTACTTTTACAAATTATTACTTTCTCATATCAATTTACTATTTTAGTTGGGACTAAGCCACAAGATTAGCTTATTCCCAAATAAAATCGCAAATTGATATGACAAATTAAATTATTATTAAGTATTAGGTTAGAAAACAAAAAAAATAAAAAAAACATAGATTCGTATTTTTCTTTATTGGAATACTTACAAACTTTTTTAATTATACAGTGATAGTAACACACATTTCTACAGCATATTTCACAAATTTGCTGTTCACAGTTTCCTGTCCTTTTTTGTTGGGCACATGTGACACCTTTTCTTGTTAAAACTAGAAGTTTTTTCAGTTTTTTCTTTTTATTGTGGTTCATCTTCCTGTAAGCATTTTTCAATACACTGTTTTGTTTCCCATTGTAGTCCCCTTGATTTTTCATTGTAGTCTCAAAATTTGAGACAACAAGAGTTGTTCTGCTGTCGTTGTAAGAAACAATATTTGCTCTTCATTTCTGTTTTCGTTCTATTTTGAATGTAAATTTGTCCAAGTAATAAATGAGACTGCCCCAGCCACGTCTAAAATATTCATAAAAAATGCAAAAGGCCAGCGGTTAGTTCGTCTTTTGCATATATATTTGTGAATTATTTGGTCTAGCCTTTGTCTACATTTTGATGTGGTGTTGATGCTTTTGAGTGTAATCCGAAATTGAAGATTTCTCTAAACGTTTTTTGTTTGGTAGATATTACCAAGAAACAAATCTCTTATTGTTTTCACTGTACCCAAGAGAGTATACAAGCCAGTAATTTATGTGCAAGAGCAAGATCAGAGAAATACTTGCAAGTCACATTCCTCTTAGAATTATAATAAGACTCAACGAGTTGTTTTACCACTTGAGATGCAAGACCTTTAGCTACTGTATTTCTTTTTTTCTCTACATGTTATTCTACCTAAATCTTCTATTTTATCTTACCTAAAGGGTAATATGTTTCCGAGTCACAGACCCACCATATTTTCATGCCATAATTATCTGCCTTTGAAGGCCTATACTGATTGAAAGGACACCTACCTCGATACGGAACAAGTTGCTCATCTATGTCTTTCAAGTCTTTATCAAGTCTTTCTGAAAGTTTTGGTTGACTTGATTTTACACATCACGTAGTGCTGCTAATTTGCCATTCCTTCTTCGTTCAGACCTCGTGTCCTTATCGTCAAATCAAATATAATCTTAGCAAATATTTAAATAGTTTTAGCCCAATGTAGCTTTAAATATAGTAGGTCTATAAAACTTACTCCAAAGTATATCTACATTATGGATGTTGGTACTTAGGTGCCCAGCAGTTAGTAGTAGTCCCATAAAGGCATATAGTCGCATTATTTCCAGTTCTCTACCCCAGGACATTTTCGGCTTCTTAATTTATACACCTCACTATTTCATTCACAATTTTTTCGTCCACAAGAAAACAAAAGAAATGAACAGAATCATCTACACTTTGACCAGGGGCTAACATTACTTTGCGCAACTTTGCTTTTTATTATCTCGCAGGATCGCATACGTCCTGTCAGTTGTGGTTGACTTTTCCAGTTAATTCCGTCCTTAGTTTTAAAATTACACACTCTGAAATCAGGAAACACACTCAATATTTTAAGATTTACACACTTGAAAACTTGTGACAATACATTCTTCTTCATTATCACTCAATACTACTTGCTGACCGTCCTCTTCACTTGCTTCCGAAAGATGATCTTCAGTTTCAGAGTCACCTTCAATGCACCTACTTCAGGAGATTCTTCATCGTTGGAATTCCATAAATTATTAGTAATATCTTGCAGTTCTGCAGCTGGTAATGGATTTCGGGACATTTTATTCGCACTATCTACTTTTATTGTAATTCAATATGATATTAGGAGCTTAGTTGTCGATACTAATGACTTATAGCAGATGCATTATTTATTTCAAAATATGTACAGGTACCTACCTAACAATATTATTGCATTCCAACAATGATTAATAGTTTTTAAAATTTATTTAGAATAGATATAACACCTACTGAAAGCATCTTTTTGATATTTACATCAAAGAAATGTTTAGATTGTTTGTTACACGTTTAGACTTTATTATTGTATTTCTGGAATCACAAAAGTCGTCTAGATAGTCCACAAAAACATTACATGACTGCCAGATTAACTTATGTAACAAATATTTAAAATAATATTATTAATATATATTAAATATTTAAACTTTTATTATAAATACAAATAAGGTCCGACGGGCCCATGCTGTCCCTTTATGTGACAAAATTCTTTAGATATAAAAATGATAATAAATATTTTGAATAGCTCATGACTATGTTGAAGAAAACATTCTTCTAAACAAATTCAGTGATGCATAAAATTTAATAAAAACTTGTCCGAATAATGAATACAAATGTCTAATCTATGCTTGTTTGATAATTATCAAAAAAAGTTTTGGATTTGCTGGAAGGGCTGAAAAGGGACCAGAGACTAAGGCATTTGGATCAGATTTTTCTGTTAATTAAAGTTAAAAAAAAATAAAAAATTTAAATTCCCTTACACAAACTTTCTAAAAACTTAAAAAGTTTTAAAGCAAAAAA